CAACCCCATAATAGCAGTAACATTAAGTTATGTTCTGAACAGGTTTAAGGGCATTTCTTCAAAACATCAAAAACAATGTTAATGTAAATGTTAATAGTTTAGAAAGATCAATATTTCATTTTGTAAGCAATATATAAGTTACAATTCTGAACTAAAGAATCTAATTTGTGTAGGTTTATATTGTAGAAGTATATTTACTTTGTGAATGAATCAGTCTTGCAGTCACCAGTATTTGATCTTTTATAGTATGGCAATTATTGATAATGCAGAGATTACTTATTTTGCTGAAAAAATGAATTTCTCTTTCTTTCCATGCATGATATCCAAAAAAACCCTTTCTCCCCCAGTACTCCTCTTATCAGCAATTGAAGGAGCAAAAAAAGTCAGAAAAATTCTTTAAAGTTCTATATGACCACATGAAAGTTGCTCAGCAGGAAATACGATCAACTGTGACAGTCAACATGATTGATTTGGGAAGCAAGAAAAAGGATGATGATAATGACCCAACCATATCTGTTCCAAAAAAAAGAGGTAAAGGGGCATTTTTGTAAAACAGAGGATAGGAAATTTATTTTATATAGGATCTGCGTGCAAAGACTCACTAATGCTGTCCCTGCATTTCAGAGCTCTGGACTCTTCTGGACTCCTGAAATAACAACAGCTTGTCAGAAAATGAGCTTTCTAAATACTTTTTCTGCTAATTGCAGGTTTCGTTTAATTAGAGGCTAGATCCTCACTGGTTTAAACCACCATCATTCTGTAGAAGTGGAGCTGCTGAAACACCACTGGAGCAATGGATCTAACACTATATTTTTTTATGTGCCCAAACATAAAGCTGCCACTAATAGGGCTGTTTCACAAGACTTGTTGAAGAATGAGAATTGAATCCCTGGCCTGTGGTTCTTCTAATCTTTTATTATACATGGAAGAAAGATGGTGACTGGGGGGGGGCAGGTGGGGTTGGCAGGAGGGTTGCTGGGGTCCAGGAGGGTTTGGCGGATCCTCATGGGGTCTGCAGGGGGGCTTGAGGGGATGGGCAGAGGGGGAGCTCTTGTCCTCACCCCTGGGAACTGGGGCTATTTTTAGCTCCCTGCCCCCGTGAACCTACCCTCCTCCTCTCCCCCCACTCTGACTTACTTCCTCAGCTCCTGGCATTGGTGTGAACACTGATAAAACCAGCACTGGGAGCAGCTTGTGGGATGGGGAGTTTGGTGGGCTTGGGGTAGGGCAAAAATAGCCCAGTGCCAAAGAGGGGGCAGGAAAAGCACAGTTCTGAGGCTAGAGCCAGCTGCTGGGTTTCCCAGCCCTGGGGAAACTGGGTGGGAACTGGGCGTGGAGAAGTTCAGTTAGATTGGTATCGCTGACCTGAGCTAAGTTAGACTACCTCAGAGATGCACTTAACTTAGATTGGGTCAGCCATTTTTAAACTGATCTAACTGTCCTGAACTTGTGTACAGTTCATAGTTAGATGCACCTAACTAGTGTAAGGTCTGCACCGGGGCTAACTAAGTTAGATCAGGTGGTCATTTGTAGCTCAATCTAACCTCCCCAAATGTCTGTATGCAGCCACAGTTGTTATTATAGACGTTTGTTTGTTTGTTTGAACATTATTTGGCTCCTACCGTGGGGGTCTTTAAGAGGAGGCTTGATGCCTACCTACCTAATTTGAGCCCAGTTTTTTCTCCTGCCCAACCAGGGGGTCAGACTTGAAGATCTACAAGGTCCCTTCTGACCCTACTTCTATGATTCTATAAAGGAGAAAAACCTTCAGAAAACATGGAGTTTATCTTCTTTATTTCCAGTAAGGGATATGACACTGCATCTCAAAGAAGGTATGAAGGGCCAGTTAACAGAAGCATCCTGTGCAACATCCAAAGCTTATTCTGTGTATAGGAGAGAAATGGACCCAGAGGTCGATCTTATGGGTGCAGGAACAGATGCTGCAAATGCAGAAGAAAAGTCTGCTGATGAAGCGATAATGAGTCCTGCTATTGCTATCATGCAGCCAATACTGAGATTCCTTCAGTTGTTATGTGAGAACCACAACCGAGAGCTCCAGGTAAACTTGGGTTGAACTGAGATGACACTAATCGTACAAAGGCAAGACTTATCACTGGGGCTCCATGAAGGAAGAAAGGCATATGCTTGTGGATCCCACTGTAGGTTCAGTGCCTAAAACTGTTCTTCTCTGGGTCCAAAAGTATAAAATCTTTGTTATTTCTTTTTTGACATAGTCATTTTCAAGGACTAAATGTGCTCAGTCTGATTATCTTGATGCACAATTTTAAAGCAGTTTCTACCTGCAAAGATGATGCAAATGGGCATTAGTGTAAATGAGAATCAGGCTCCACTCATGTTCCACTGCAGTAATACGCTGCGGTAAAAGATGGCATTTTATAGAATTTTTTTTGTTTGGTTTCCATGTCCATGCCTAGGGTCTCAATCTTAGCATGCTCAAGACCAGTATCTTCTGTTCTGTGTGCACTAGGCCCCCACTGATGGGAAGCAATGTAATCTTGCTTGCCTGGTATCAGGAGTAGGAAAATTGGCACTGCCTTGTGGCATGTCCTATTACCCACCCCAGTGCCCACATGGATGTGGTTACACTGCTTCTGGTTGCAATGTAGTAAATGCAGAGCATAGTGGCATGTTTGAACGTGCTGCTGCTGGGCATGGTCACATTGGTGCAAGTGCACAGTTAAGGAGCCATAAATTATATGTTTGCATCAGTAATTAAGCGGCTATTCTTCAGTAATGGTTTGCTTATACTAAAAGTGTATAACTTTTTAGTTACTCTTTTCTTCAGGGTTAGTCTACTTTGTAGATCTTATTAAGGGCTAGGTGTCAAATCAACGTTAAGAGACCGATAGTTTTAAAATTCTCAAATTTTTATTCAATAAGACCTAGGATCTGAATTAATAAATACTGAGCCTACAAGTGTTGTTTATTTTATCTAAAAATCTACAAATTGACTTTCTTGTCACTGACCTGGGATTTTTTGTTTTTTACATTGTTTTCTCTTTAAGAAAGGAAGCTAATGCCAAAATAACAATGCAATGTGAAGATTGTAAACTATAATGAAAAAATCAGGAAATTCTGACTATAAGATTGAATGTGTAGTCTGAATGTTGAGGAAAGCTGGGCTGGATCCAGTGCTGACAAATGACACCTTGAGAAGAAAATATGTAAGATAACCTGTGGTTGCATGCCATAAGGCTGTCTGTTTGACCTTAAATTCCTCTGTTTTCTTTTCAGAACTTTTTGAGACATCAGAACAATAAAACAAATTACAACCTTGTTTGTGAGACCCTCCAGTTCTTAGATTGCATTTGTGGAAGTACAACAGGTGGACTAGGCCTCCTGGGGCTATATATCAATGAGAGGAATGTTGCGCTTGTGAACCAAACTCTTGAGAGTTTAACTGAATACTGCCAAGGCCCATGCCATGAAAATCAGGTAGCTGAAATAAACCTGTCTTGACACAGAATTTATCTGAATATCTATGTACATACCATAACCCTTTCCTATTTTTAATATTTCATACTGCTTCACATAATATGGCTTGATTCAGCACACTTGAAGTCTTTATAAGCATTGAGAAACCCTGTGCACATCTACACGAGATTTTTAATGTGTAGTAGACCAATTGTACTGCGTATTCATGCATCAAGGCAAAAGCCCTACTAATGCATTTATGTGCAGTGGAATTAGTCTACTGTGCATTAAGTGTTAGAAAAAGACCATGTGCCTTTGCTCCTGCACAGTAACGCCAGCTTCTGCACATTTATGTAGTACCTCATATTAGAGCTACTAAACTTAATGCACTGTAGCAAAGATGCATTAATACATGTGTAGACTCACTCCCTTGTGAACACACTTCCCTCAAAACCAGGGTTTGTTTCAGCTCCTCTGATGTAGCCAGGGTGAAATACTGGCCCCACTATGACTGGTCAGGGGATGTATATACTCTGCCTCAGTTCCCTGCTAGGGAATGCTTAAGTGAACTATAGCATGCACTGTCTCCAGAAACAGAGGTAGTGTGATGCTGGGCCCATGCCAAGAACATGTTGGAAGAGAAAAACTTATTAGAATATGCCAGGCATGCCATGAAAGTATTTATATTACTTCCCATTTAGGAGGTAGTACAGGATTCCTGAGAGATGGTACAGGATTCCTCACTGTGGCACTCTCTCTTGCGGTAATGTGCTCTAGACCAGGGTTTCTTAACCGGTGGGACTTCCAGTTTCACCTCCCTGCTCATCAACTGGTGGGACCAGGATTTTTTGACCTTGTGTAGGTGCAAAAGTTTGATAACCGCTGCTTTAGACTACAAGTTTCTAGAACGTGCTGCCTTTACTTCGTATAACTGGCCTGAAGTGTAACTCAGTGTTCTGCTGTACTTGCAAAACCAGCATTTTGAAGCTGGCTAATGAAATTAAATATAATTCTTTAATTCTTTAATCAGAAGTCAGGGATTTTATGAAATATGTTCAAGGTTGGGCAAGTATGAGGTGTATGTTGCTATAATATATTCAGGGACTACTTTAAAGTGTGTACTCTGTTCACACAAATTTAGGTATTTAACCGTGTGTACTTAATTACATGAGTAGACCTGGTGAAATAAGTAGGACTTCTCATAGTCATACTTCTCATAGACATACAGTGTTGACATGTTAATCTTAGAGACATGGTTACACTATATGTATATTGGACTAGCAGTGAAAAAACTTGCTACAGACAGAATAACAAAGACAAAATATGGTTTATGGCACTAACAATGGTAAAAAGTTAGATAACATACCTAGCATTAGTATTTTTGTTACTTCATAGTATATATCTTAGGGAATAGCAAAATGCTTTTTTCACCACTCGAGACAATCAAACACCTTTTGTTAATATTTAAAAAATCTTAAATGAGCTAAAATTTAAATAACTGCATTTGCTTAAAAATTCTGAGGTATATCCTTTCATGGGGCAGACAATTTGAAACTACAGTGATAATTACAAAGCTGTAAAAGGTGGGAGAGCCTCTTTTCAAGGTAACTTTTTGACTAAGTTCACAAAAGAAAACTGATAATGAAAATAAATGATTATTTAATCTTCATTTCTATGGCCTGCTGTGAAGTAACTGAGGAATGGAGTCATGCTTGTTTCCAGCAGCTGAGGATGCAGTTGTGCATATTTCAGAGACAAGTTTCCATGCTGTCATTTCCATTTCATTTTTTTAAACTTTCCTACTCCATGATCTTAATTGATATAAAAGTACCACAGGTTATTTAGCTGGATAATGTTATGCCTTAATAAGGCCAGCATTGTAGTTGTGAAATGTTCAGAAAGAAATTTTGGCTATAGTTAAAAATGTTGGACTCTCCACTGAAAAAGAAGAGACATGTACCCATAGGGGTATATAGAAAAACTGCTTGTGTGAAGTCGAAACATACAATCACATACCCAGATGCAAGTATTTATCTGCATATGCAAGTTAAATATTGTTTGTATAAATCCAGGCTTCGCATGCAGTTTTTGCATATATTCATCATTATATATACCTAGAATTCAGGAACCATGGCCTAGTTCTTCACTTTCAGGCACAGACCATGAAATACAACTCAGAGAAATAGCCAGTTTGGTTTGAAGAAAACTTCAGTGCGTGGCTGATGATTAGGGTGACCGTATGTCCTGGGTTGGCCAAGGACAGCCCCAAATTTGAAAGGCCAGTGCCAGTCAAGTGGTAAAAATTAAAATGAATGTTCTGGGCACAGGGTGGGGAAGTGGAGCAGCATGACCTGTGAAATAGGAAGCCCTAGCAGACAGCAAAATTGCCCTAAAGTAGATTAGCTTGATTAGTCGAATGACTATTAAAAAGGGGAGAGGATTGTTAACACCTGTGAAGTAAAGATCATTGGGCCCTTAGCTGCCTGAATACCAGAGCTGTACCATGCTGCTCCATCCCTGCCCCCACCCATGCCTCTGCCTGCAGCAGTGCTGCTGATTTGAGGGAGTGGAAGGGGGGCAGTGTCCTGGATTTCACATTGTCCCAGACGGTCACCCTACTTGATGATGCATATGAGGGCAGCTCTTGCGCTTACCAGAGGGTGTGCTTTATCATGGTTGGTCCAAAACAGGTGTATCCTCACCATGCTCCCTTTCCTCCAGTTATAGTCTACGCTAACAAAAGGGTGTGGATGGGGTGTGATATGCTGGCTCTACACTACTGAAGCCTTCTCCTCCACTATGGTGATCCTCTTGAGGCTTGCTCTGGGGCCACTTTGCATTGGCTCTGAGGTTCAGTGCTTCACAGCGCAGGTTGAATCTGGACCCTTGTTTTGTGCTTACGTATATGTGTCTCTCCTATTTCTAGACATGCATTGCCACCCATGAATCTAATGGAATTGACATTATAATTGCACTGATTCTGAATGACATAAACCCCCTTGGCAAATACTGTATGGACCTAGTGCTTCAGCTGAAGGTATAGTAAACATTAACTTACTTATCCAGAGTTAAGTAGTTGCAGGGAAAAATGCCTATGCAGGAGCTCTAGGTAAGCTGACACTTCTTTATCTTACCACAGCAAAACATACTGAGCAGCATTAGAAAACAAACCTTGCAAATTTAACTCAGTTCTGCTCAGGATAATCAGTGAATCAACCTCAAAACGATCATGGATATCAGTGAATCAGCTCCTGCCATCATGCCTTTGAATGTAATTTTATCTTTCTTTAAGAGCCCAGTCCAACAGAAACTTGTATCTAATATGAAGTATCTAAACCCCAGATATAAAAAAAAATCCTTAGACTGTTAAATGCTGTGCTCCTCAAGTAGTGTAACAAAGCAGGCATTTCTATATACTGGACTCTAAAAATGGTACAAACGGGAGAAAAAGTATGTATCAGCAGACCTGCAATTAAAGTGCCAAATACTGTCAAAAGCAAAGTTAAATTAGTGTATTTTAATTTTCTCCTTAGTTGTGTGCATGCACAGGCACTTGCGTGTTTGCAGATGTGCAAGTGGCAGTGTTTTTGCTTTGTTTGTATCCCTTAGGGAAGTGTGTAGATCCCTAGATTAGCGTGACATTGTCCTCCTTTATAGAGCACAGATTGCCTAGTGATTTTTTTTTTTGTCATTCTCCTGCCATCAGAATGATCATTTTCCATTGTAGATGTGTAAACCTCCAATGTAACAGAGAAATAGTTTATTGTGGCTACATTACATCATACTGGTGACATGTCTGATAATATTATTATAATTATATCAAAGGGATTTTAATAACTGTGATAACATTGTGAAATCAATCCACACCCCTTTCCAGTAAAACATGTAAGCACTAGTGGTGTGCGAAGTGGGCTGTATTCGATTCGGATTTGGATTCAGCCCGAATCAGGGACAGTGATTCGATTCCTTTAGTTGGATCGCTATCCCTGATTCGATTCAGCTGAATCCGAATCTGAAGATTCAATGCTGATTTGGAGAATCAGCAATTTGGACACAGACACAGCTTTAAATATTTTTTCTACATACGTCAAGGTACTAGCACGGCTTGTGGACACTGTAATGCTGGGGCACACAGAACATCCCTCATATGCTGGGGAGTGTACGGGGGGGCCCCTGCCTGCACCCCTCAGCTCGGTGATTGGCTGTGGGGGGACCCTTGGTGCCTCCCCCAGACTCAGGAGGCACCAATTGCTGAACTGTGGAGGTGTGGGGGGGCCCCCTGCACGTTTCCCAGCAGACCCGAAAGTGGACCGGAAGTGCTCCTAGTCCACTTCTGGATTTGCTGCTGAGTGTGCTGGGGAGCACCCTGCACTTCTGTGGGACACTCCATGCCTCCCCCCCCACCCGCATCACAGCATTCACGAGCCGCCTACTACCTAGAGGTATGTAGAAAAAACATTTAAAGCTGTGACTGTGTCCAAGTCACCAAACCTTTCTGAATCTCTCCGAACTGATTTGGACGGTTCTGATTTGATTTGGAGAGATTTAAAGGGTCCTCTGATTTGATTTGGATTCACAGATTCGACTACTGAATTGGGCCAAATCTCCACCGAATCAAATCGGGGACCAAAGCTTCACACAGCCCTAGTAAGCACATCTTTAAGCACAAAAATATTTTCACTGAAATCAAAATTCCAGTTAGTTCCTGTAAAATTGAAGAGCTACATCCACTGCTGTACAGTTTTGATTGCCATTTAATTATTGTGCTAGACATTTATAAAGCACCATTTTGTAAACAAATATATAAAGGAAAAAATAATTTGTCATATCTTCAGTAGGGGTTGCCTCAAAGATCAGCTGGGCCCATTTTGTGTAATTCTGTAGATAACGTGTTATTACTCGAATAGAATATGTTTGATGAGAAAAGTTGTGACATCAAAGACTGAGACTGCGGCCCTGATTTTCCGTTCAAGAATTGGATCTAAATGATTAAATCATCTGTCTTGCTCAGATTGATATTCATGGCAAAACTACTAATAACATTTAACTATTGTTATATTATTATATTATTCCTTGGAGAATTTGTGCATTTTTTGTGCAATCCTAAGGTTGCAAAATACAAGTTTTGGATATTACAATAAACATCGTGCATGCATGCACACGCAATAGCCTGTATTAAGAAATGTCCGTGGCCCTTGATCTGCCTGCTGGAGCATAGCATGCTGCTCTTGCTCCCCAGCTCCTGCCTGTCAGAAGCTTGAGATGCAGTTTTCTAGAAATCTCTGCACCTATGTCTGTGAAACTTGGCAGTCTTCATGCCCTCAGAAGGGGCTACCATCCCTGCAAGTTTCATTGGAATCAGGCAAGAAATGACAAAGTTATAGGCAGTTTTGTGCTTCTCCATTATAGCCTATGGGCAAAATGTTGATACAGCATCGAAACAGTGAAAACATTTTGACGAAACAAAATGGAACAGTGCTCTCAAAATGAAATGAAACTCAAAACAAAACACTGTTTCATCGAAATGGAAGGCGAAGCAGAACGCCAGAATAAATCTGTCTCATGTCCTTGGGGCCACTAACCTGCTGAATTTTAAGCCCTGTAGTTAAAAAATACATTTCTTAGCTCCATAGCTACCCAAAGAAAAGGTCACCAAAATTACTTAGCATGGGCAAAATAACATATTTTCCTCTATCTCATTCTCAGAAATTTTTATCCAGAGTGGGAAATTTCAGCCTGGAGTTATAAGTCAATGAAAACAGGTTTATATATCAAGAAGGGCCAGATAATCATAATAATGGGCATGCTACCAGTTTCACTTATAATATGGTGCCATAGTGTATCTTAAAATAATCATGCAAAGGTGCTACTGAAATTAGCTACTGAAATCAGATGTACTGCCCATTCTGCTCAGTCCCCCTCAGCACTGACTCTTTTTCAACTCATGGTGAACAACTTCAAATACACTTTGACTTCCTCTGCACTGCACAGCTGAGCAGCCTTCTTTCCCATTTCCAATTATTCCTATTTCTTCATCAGGCTTAGATGTCTGGCAAACATCTCCAAACATCTGTGCAGATAAGGGACTCTGTTGCCCTTTCTCTTAGCCTGTTGTGTAACTGGTGTCACCCTGCCCTCCATGGGGTGAAGCCAGACCAGGTGGCCCTAAGCCTTATCTGCATATTCAGTTTTGAAGGGTCCTACAACTTGTGACAAGAACACCCAGGTCCAGTTATGAGTTGGGGCTAATTAGCATAGGGATCCATTGTTGAGGAGGTATCTGAAGTACACATGCATACTGAGCAGTACTGGGTTCTGGGGTCACCATAGTTTGAAGTGCTGTTGACTCTGCTGGACCCCAGCTCAATGAAATATATAATAAATCATGAGCCTTTTTGGTTTTGGACTAGTGTCATGCATAGTTTGTACTGTGTATAAGTAGGTAAAAAAGTATTGTTCAAAAGTATGTTTATGGAAAACCTATGCTGAAACTTGCAGCAGTTTGCAAAAAAAAGTTAAATGCATCAATTCTGAATGAAGTCTTATAAGTATCCATAATAGTTTGCATATATGCAAATTATGAAAGGTATGTTTTGGTTTTTTTTCAAGTCAGGGTTTTCTGGTCCCTTGCTTCAAATTAGCCTCTGCTTGCCTCTCACTTCCCTGTACTTGGGAAATGAACAGAGCCTGAGCAGGTTCTGACAGTAAGGGGTGGGGGAAGGGGATGCAGAGGGAAGAAGTTGAGGGGGGGCCATAGGGCAAGGGGGCCACATGACCACCCCAGCCATTTTCCCTGCTGCAAGAGTGGGAGGGGTCTGAATTAAAGACAAACCTCCGATAATTAGAGTATATACTTGGACAAGTATAACAAATTTATAATTTTGCCATATATCAAATCTAATTATGGAGAGGTGTCTTAAATTTAGGGTTGTCTTAGATTTGAGTAAATATGGTATTTATGGGTAAGATGCTAGTGAAAAGCAAATAGTAGTAAAAAGTATATCTTTCCACATTCCCCCCAGGAATACAAGAATATGGTGAATACTTGGTTGTCAAATAAAGTTTTCAGATTATGGAATGTATGTAACCAGTTTATTTTATAGCCTTTGAGATAATGACTAATAATGCCCAGGAAAAAAAAAAAAGAAAGGGAACCTGCATCATAGACAAAACCTTTTGTATAATACCATTTGTAATTACGTCTGCTGTGAATTGTTTTAACAAAATACCATTGTAAAAAGTGCTAGGTGAGCAATAAAAACAGGAAATAGAACATCATTTATTGTGCACAGTACAGACCAAAGTGTTGTAGTTCAGTCAGATACTTTTCAATATTTAAAATACCCCTTTCGTGATATTCTGTACAGTTAGATTTGCAGTATGGTGACATTAAATTGGGGAAAAACTATTAAATATATCCATAAAACAAAAGATGAAAGCCATTTAAAATCTTGTCCACCAAAAAAGTGGTCCTAGCAATCTCAATTAAAACAAATGCAAGGATTGTTAATCCGTGAAATAGATTTTAAATTTGCATTATCTTGGTTTTGTGTTCCTAGAACAATGCCTCCAAGCTTTTGCTGGCTATTATGGAAAGCAGGCATGACAGTGAGAATGCTGAAAGAATCCTTTTTAACATGAGACCAAGGGAACTGGTAAGAATATTTTGAATATTCATATTTTTTTTGGCTGAATTAAAACAAACCTATCATCAAAACATTTTTAAATGTTTTACATCTAAGTTGAAGGGTGTTGGCACCATAAAGTAACACAGTGTATCAGGCTAGTACTAATTCACAAAAAAGGCCTTCCAAGGATCAAGCGTGCATGATTTCAGTCTTTACGACTTCATTATTTTTATCCATTCCAAGCACTTTTCTGTAATTGTTTCCTAAGTAAATTATCATTAAATTACTTCACTTAACCGTCTTCAAGTACACTGAGAAATTAGGGACCAGGTGGCCCTATATAAATTTTTGAAGACCCAGGACCCAAGAACACCCAGGTCCAGTTATGAGTTGGGGGCTAATTAGCATAGGGATCCTTTGTTGGAGAGGTATCTGAAGTACATGCACAGTATGCAATACAGAGTAAGAAGAAAAATATTTGCCACACAGGCCAAAAATAAATATATATATTGGTACATTTCTTGGTATATTTTTGAATGCAGATAATATTTGCATTAGTTCCATAACTCTAAATAATGATTGGAAGTTTGGGTGAGTTGTCATTCCCATCCAGATTTGACCTTTTAGCTGCAGTGACTTGGAAAACAGACTAAGACCGTTTTGCCTAGTCAAAGTCCATTAATATGGGGGGGCTCTGCAGAGGTAGAGAGAATCATACGTGAATGGCATTGCTGGAGGACAGCTAACAAAGAAACAATTCATTGTTTTCTTTCTAAAATTGTTTCCTTGGAATCCCTGACCCTTCCAGTGTCTGGTATCTAATCCATAGCCTTCTTTCTCTTGGGTTTTTTTTTTTCTCTTCAACTCCTTGGAGAGTTAGTAAGTTTGTTGCAACATGCTTCTGGCTAGAAACAGGTTGTAAGTGGCATACATTACAGGGCTCAATAGCAAGGGATTGCCAGCAGCATCAGCGACCTTTCTTTAAACATGCAGCTGTCAAACGCCCTTTTACAAGGCCCAGAATTTGTGTAGCTTCCTCACTGATTCCAAAGTTTTGTGGAGAAAGGAGTGTTGCCATTTTGAACTTCATAGATTTGTGTATGGACTCGGATTTTTTTCAAAGGATTTCTCATTTTGCATTAGATCCATTTAGTATCTTGCTTCTAGCACAAGTTGTTACCAAAATAAAAAAAAATCCCAGAATTGTACAATGTTGTACATGAGGAGAATTTTCTGGCTCTTGCAGGAGATTCCTGACATACGCTCTGAAGCATATGATTTAATTTTGATCTTGATGATTATTGTTAGGATCTTATATCGGTTTTTGCTGTCTGGACTTTTTTTGTCTTTTGTCCCATGAACGCTGTAGCAGGGCACTAAGGTGCCTGCTACTTGAAGAGCAGGAATGGCCACCCTGGTGTCAGTTGCCAGGGCAACCGGGAGGAGCTAGAGGCCCACACCTGTTGAGTCAGCTGACCAGAAGGGGCAGGGCTGACTCCTATAAAGCACAGGCTGGAGGCTGGGAGAGGGGGTCTCAGCTGGTGGCCAAGGAGGAGTGCTGCCTAACTAAGCAAAGGGGAAAGGCCTGAACGTGAGCAGTTTGTTATGCTGGTGAAGGATGGAGCACCTGCAGAGTGTGACTCAAAGGAGGTTAGCTGAGTGGTTTAGCTTTTGTGTTATAGCCCAGGGGCTTGTGTTATTGTTTGCTGTTGTCTACAGGGGGACCAGGTGAGGCTATAAGGGGATGGAGGAGGCCTCATAGGGAAACCACGACAGTGTGGGAGCCCCAGCCCCCCGAGAGTGGGCAGTGCGAGAAGCCCCAAGAGAGAGTGGGCAGTGAGAAGGCATCCAATAAGACCAAAGAACATCTGGTACATCCACAAGGCTTGGGGTGGTTGGAGCCACGCATAGCCCATAAGGCTGGGGTGCACCTGAGCCCCATTCCAGAAAATGGACCAGTATAACACAGGAGAACCATAGCCAAGAAGACTAAAGGTAGCCTCCCCATAATACACGGAAAACCAAAGACGTGGTAGGTGAGATTGCAAGGTGAGGATAGGCAGCTTGGTGTGGTAGAGAGGATAATTAGGGGGGAGCATGGCAAACCCGAGGTTCCTGTCCTGTCACAAATGCTTTTCTCTACATGTCTCACTAGTGAGTGTTTAAAAAAGGGTTTACCAATTAAATATGACCCTCCTTGAAGTTAATGACAATGTTGCCATTGGTTTAAGTGTTTTCAGGATTTCATCCTGTCCGTGTGTATGATGTTCATAGGAAACAAGGGCTGGAAGGGACCTCATCAGGTCATCTAGTCCAGTCCTCAGCTTAAGGCAGGATCATCCCTGACTACATTATCGTAGTCAAGTGTCTGTCTAACTTGCTCTTGAAAATGTTCAAGGATAGGGATTCCACAGTTTCCCTCATAGTCAGAAAGTTCCTCCCAATTTCCAACATACATTTCCCCTGCTGCAGCTTGAGGCCTTGCTCCTAGTCCTGTCCCCTACTGCCATAGAGAGAAGCCCATCTCCATCCTCTCTGTAATTGCCCTTCAGGTATTTAAAGACTGTTATCAAATCCCCCCTCTGGCTTCTCTTCTCCAGACTAAATAATGCTGGTTCTTTCACTGTTTCCTCATAAGTCTTACCTCTCATTTTTGTTGCTCTGTGCTGGACACTTTCCAAGCTGTCCACATCCTTCTGGAAGTATAGGGCCCAAAACTGGACACAGTACTCCAGGTGAGGTCTTACCAGTGCTGAAGAGTTCTGAAGTATCACTCCCTTTGATTGGCAAGTGACACTGTTGTTGATACAACCCAGCATGCTCTTGGTCTGGGTTTTTTGATGGTGGTGGGTTTTTCCTGCTTCAGCAGCAGGAGCACACTGTTGGTTCATATTCATTTTATGGTCCACTGTAATCCCCAGGTCCTCCTCTACAGTACTGCTGCCTAATCAGTCATTTCCCAGTCTGTATTTGTGTATACAAGTTATTCTGTTCCAAGTGCAGGACTCTGCACTTGTCCTTGTCGAATCTCATCTACTTGGTTGCAGACCATTTCTCCAGCCTATTCAGGTCATTCTGGTTCCTAGCCCTACTTTCTGGTGTGTCTGTAATACCAGTTTGTTATTGTTTGAAATTTACGAAGTGTGCACTTGATCCCATCATTCCAAAACATTAAGGAAGATATTTAAACAATACTGGCCCCAGGACAGACCCTTGGAGAATCCCACTTGATACCTCCGCCCAACTAGACATTGAACCTTGATTACTGCTCCTTGAGAGGGATGATTTGATTAGTTATGTATTCACCTTACAGTATTTTCATCTAATTCATGTTTCCTTAGCTTTTTAATGAGAATGTGGTGAGAGACAGTTTAGACAATAGCTCTGCTTGTATGAAGCTGTCTTGGTATACAAGTTAAACTTAAGGCCATGGGACAATGATAGGGGCCTATTAGGGTGGTTGGGAAACTAAACTGGAATGCTCATCATTGCCCATGTTACCATATATAAGCACAGATCCAGTGACTTCATCCTGCCTCAACCAGGCATGATGGTCCTTCCAGATCACCTCATCTGAAAATGCAGGACCCCTAAATGGCTCATAACAAGGTCTAGAAGAACCAGTGCAGTTGCTCTGCTTGGAATTCTTCTCTCCCACATAACCCCATTAAAGGGTCTCACTCATCTCATCTGGCCTGATGCATCTGAAAATCTTACAATCTTTGATGTACTTATCCTTGCTGACCCCTTCATAGCAAGGAAGAGCTGTTAATGCCCATTTTACAGAAGGAGAATCAAGGTGCAGAGACACCAAGCAACTTTTCCAGGATCCTGCAGAAACCTTGAGATAGTCTCCTGAACCCCAAGCTAATGCCCTAATTATTAGATCATCATTCTGAAGTGACGTAAAGCATCTTCTGTGTCTAGACCAGTGTCACCCAAAATAAGCATTTCAAGCACCAGACAACAGTTATACTGCACACTTCACAGCCTGTTTTAAACTGCTGAAGAGAAAAACAATGAAGGTTAAGATAAGAATAAACCAAACAACTTCTGAATCTTTTCTTCATTCAAAAAGTGCTTTTCAGTGTACATATGCAGCTCATAGGACTCCAGGGGACCTGTCCAAATGTAGTCTGTAGGCAGTACGCAATTTTCATGGAATTTAAGTAGGTTCATGTCCATTTGCTTTTATTTGTTTCTAAGGTGGATGTAATGAAGAATGCTTACAATCAAGGTCTAGAGTGTGACCACGAGGAGGAGAATGGTGATGACAGTATTTCCCCAAAAGATGTTGGTCATAATATCTATATATTGGCACATCAGGTATGCCTTTTGTTATCAATTATAGAAGTCCTGAAAGTGTGGGAAGATGTTCTTAAACTCTACCTCAGACCTCTGTGTATTAAAAAATGTGAATTTCCTGTGTAACATCTATAGGGTCAGGATTCTGTCTGGCATAAGCTTGTCTAGAGTGTTTTCAGAGGTGAGTATCCAAGTCTTACATACTGTGTGTGTGGGAGTGGGCAGAGTATAACAACTCAGAGTGCAGCAGGTACTATATATTTAACTTGACTCATGTCACTTTAGGAGTTTTCAGCTCAGATATAACAAATATCGGCAATGTGGGGAGGCGGCTAGGAAGGCCAGCTGCACCTTGTCGTGCATCTACAGATGCATCTCGAGCAGGTCCAAGGAGGTGATCCTCCCCCTCTATGTGGCACTGGTCAGGCCGCAGCTGGAGTACTGTGTCCAGTTCTGGGCGCCACACTTTAAGAGGGATGTGGACAGCGTCGAGAGGGTCCAGAGGAGGGCCACTCGTATGATCAAGGGACAGCAGGGTAGGTCCTATGAGGAAAGGTTGCGGGACCTGAACCTGTTCAGCCTTCAAAAGAGAAGGCTGAGGGGGGATCTTGTGGCCTGTTATAAACTGGTTAGGAGGGATCAGCAGGCGCTGGGGGAGTCCCTGTTCCCCCGAGCGCCGCAAGGAGTGACCAGGAACAATGGTCACAAGCTGGCGGAGGGAAGGTTTAAGTTGGACATCAGGAGGCGCTACTTCACGGTCAGGGCGGCTAGGGTCTGGAACCAGCTTCCAAGTGAGGTGGTGCAGGCTCCCACCCTGGGGGTTTTTAAGAGGAGGTTGGATGACCACCTTACTGGGGTCGTTTGACCCCAGTGCTCTTCCTGCCATGGCAGGGGGTTGGACTAGATGATCTGCTCAGGTCCCTTCCGACCCTAGAAACTATGAAACTATGAAATAGTTATATTAATGAAAAGATAAATTGAATCAGATTAATTTTATTATTTTTATTTCTAGCTTCTATTGTTGTATTAAATAAATGTGCATGGAAATACTAAGTTTATTTTTGATCTGTTAGATCTTTCTGGCAATGTCAGTAGTTTGGCTTTTTGGCTAATTTTTTCCTTTTGTATTATGTAACAGTTTCACTGTTTTTTCTGATTCTACCTATTTCCTAAATTATAAAGTTGACTATGGGTAATGTTTTTGTTGTATGGGACATTTACATTTCAGAATATTAGATCTTGATGTTAAAATAATGATTGTGTTCCTATGTCTTAAATGGCTGTACAACTTTATGGAACAAATTTTATAACTAAAGAGGTACACCCAGATAATATTGGCTGTTTCATATAAAGGAACATATCTTTTTCATGGTTTTTATTAAGGTCATACAGATTAAAAGAAAATAACAAGGAAATGTGTTGCAAATAGTGTCAGAAAACAACAGAAAAAGTTAAGTTACTATTGCAAATTTGAATAACGCCAAATGGAAGGAAAAAAAACAGTTTGTAACTGCACTAATAATAATATGAGAAATAAAGATGATTCACTGAAGTATATGCTCTGTGTGTGTGCATGTGTATACACGTCTGTTTATATATATGTATATACACACACACGCACACATTTGTGTGCCTATGGTAAAATGAGTTTATTGTTTAATAAGTGAATCTTGATCTTATTACATTACTATGGCTAAATTCTAGCCCTGTGTGCAGAAGTTCTATCAGAGATAATAGGATTTTTTGTGGAGAAATATTCCTGCATAGTATATGACCGTTTTCCCTAGTGAAAAGTAACCACAAAACAGTACCAAATCAAAATGGGACTTTTTCATACACACTTTGAGAGGTCTTTGCTCTGCTGTAAATTGTTATACAAGATTCAGAACAATAAAGAATAACTTGCTGAGCTGAACATAGGTCATATGTACCATAAGCCTGCTAGAATAAATCTAAAGAGGTGTCATAATCATATTCAGGGTAAGCTGGAGGTATGATTACAGTATATGTAGATATACCCAAGCTGGCAATTGGTTTCAGCTGCCAAGTATCTACCCAGGTTCCTGTATGGGGTTGTGCAGTCAGTGCTGTAGCTTCACTGTTGTGGGTACCTGAGCTAGTCGCATGCTACAATTGTCTACCTGTCCTGGTGGCCAGTGTAGGCATTAGGCCTGTGTGAAGCAGAAGGTATTCACTTCAGATTTGGATTTGGCGGTTCGGAGGGACAGTGATTCAATTTGGCCGAATCCGAAGATATTTGGCACTGAATCTTATTCGGCCATAGACTATACAGGCAGGCAGTGCCGGTGGGAGCAGCTGGATGACCCCTGGCTCACGGCAGCCCCAGGGGAAACTGTGGCTCATCTGGCTGCTCCCCCAGCTGCCCCCTGCCAGGGCAAAGCAGGCAATGCTGGCAGCCCTGGGAGAAGCCGCAGGGGCTGGGGGGAATGATCGGGGAGCTACGGGATTGAACTGGGAGCTCAGGCATCTAATTCGGAGCTGGAGAGAATGATCGGGGGCTGGGAGAAGGAACAGGGGCTTTCCCCCAGCTCCTGGTTCCATCCCTCAGCTCCCAGTTGTTCCCCCAGCTCCCCGATCATTCCCCCCACATCCCATGGCTTCTCCCAGGGCTGCTGGCTCAAGCCACAGCTCATCTGGCTGCTCCCCTGGGTGTCCCCATGCTGGGGCAAGGCAGGCAGTGTTGGCAGCCCTGTGGGAGCTGGGGAGTTGAACCGGGAGCTGTGGGGAAGCTTCTGTTTGTTCCTCCCAGCTCCCGGTTCAATCCCCCAGCTCCTGGTTTGATCCCCCATTTCCCATTCATTCCCCAGCTTCCCCGATCATTCCCTCCAGTCCCCATGGCTTCTTTTGGGGCTGCCAGCACTGCCTGCCTCACCCCAGCAGGGGGAGAGCAGCCAGGGGAGCAGCTGGACAAGCCGTGGCTTCTCCTGGGGCTGCCGTCAAGCCAGGGCTCGTCTGGCTGCTCCCGCAGCCGTTCTCGCCAGCACTGCCTGCTTGTATAGTCTATGACCGAATCTCTGAATCTCTCTGAATTGATTCGGAGGCTTCCGATTCAATTCAGAGAAATTAATGGGTCTCCTGATTTGATTCAGATTTGGAGATTTGGTCACTGAATCAGGCCGAATCTCCTCCGAATCGAATCAGCTACCGAAGCTTTGCATAGCCCTACTAGATGTAGCCTGAGGTACCAAGGCCTGATGCCTGGTGAGGTATATTTAAGGCTTTGTCAGCTGTTTTGCAGCGTCCTTCCCTGTCCTAAAGAAGTAAATAACTTTGCTTGTGGTAAAAATCTCTATCTTTCTGTAAAAATGACTGATTCCCCTCCCTCTGTCTGGGTGTCAAGTAAATACATCTTTTTACAATATCCGTGCAATCATGCAGAACATCAGACCACAGCACAGCAGAAAGTTGGCAGGCTTGATCATTCTATTTGGGAACTTTTTCTCTCCTTTCTTAATGGAAAAGCTATGGGTTTTAGCACATGACCAGTAACCTTTGAACCTTTCCACATGTGCCCTTGTACTCACTCTGGGCTGGGCAGGATATGAACTTTGGTCCCTCATGAATTAAACCATTGTTGCTTAGTTCCTTTCCTGGCTCCATTCTCTAAACTCCCTCTAATGCTGTGCTACATCTCAGTAGCTTATTGGTAGTTGAGCCCTGCACACTGTTTAGCTGACTTCATTTACATAATATTTCTTTGCTCCTTACAATTTCATAGTTCATTTTTTACTATTTTCATAACTTGCATGGCCTTTTAGCTGCTTTTCCTGACTTGCATGTGACCACATGCTCTGGTTATAGCTTTTGTACCACTCCAGAGTAGCGGATGCTAGTGTAAAGTTCCTCTTTTTGTTATTACATCCTCATGTACAAACAGTTTATTTTGGGGCACCCAGACTTTCGTTTTTTGTCGTTGCACTTTTTAAGGGCTGTAGTGGGTTCTGCATTTTGCTACTGCTACATCCTTCCCTGCCCTTCTTGTGGTTGGTTTTACCAGAAGCAAAAGGCTTTCTTGTAAGCATCTGACGTGCATAGAAAGATATAAATGTCACAGAGGAAGCTGAGGACTATGTTATGACCTCTTAACACTGGAGGGCTGGGCACAGAAGGTCCATGAAAGCATGGGACATTATAGAGTATTTACCATGCAACATAGTTGCTCATCATTCTCCTTCTTGCTTTTCCCTGTCTTGTATGTTTTTCCTTCTTACCTCTTCATCCTCCTCCAGTCTGCCATATGCCCAAGCTAGTCTCCCTCCAGTGACTTCAGTCTTCTTCTCACATTACTGCTTCCCACTCTTCCTGTCCTGTCTGTTATGAGCCAAGCAAGGAATGGAACACAGCTTAGAGAAAGCAGAAATGAACTGTCCATGTCAGTCTAGCAAAACCTGCACTCCCACACTGTAGTCTGGTTTGGAGGTGATGGTTCATTTCAGCTGCAGCTTTTTTGTAGCCCAAACCAGTGCAGAGTAATGACACAAATCGGTGCTTGATATCATGTGCTAGAAAAAAAGCCCACTGTCACCAAATGGACAGCATGCATGATTTATCTCACAAGAATCTACTGTGGCTAAACATGCTATTTGTCTCCATCCATTCAGACAGCATGCCTGCAGCCAACCTTTGAGCTTTACTCAGTCACTTCTTTCTTAAGTTTCTCCAACAGTCTTGGGTGACTACCAATAGCTTTTTGTTGCAAGGTGTATTATTTTGTTCCAGTATCTCAATTAAGGGAAATCTACGTAGCACTTTAATAACATTTTATTAAAATGTAGATCATGCTAAACCAAGGGCATACTCTGTTTTGTGAAGTTAATAAGGTACTCATCAATAAAATGCATAGGGTGATGTCTCTTTAGTCTTTGTAAAGACTTGTGATGCAGTATCACACCAAATTTGATCCTAATACTCAGCTTTGGTTTGGACTGTAAACTGGGGACTTAGCTGTTTAAATGAGGAAGAACGTCAGAAGGGATGGCACAGAGAAACCTTCCTAATTT